AGAGCAGCAGTTAGTGTTCTGTCGGCCTCCATCCCAGTCACACAGATGCTGAGGCAGGCGAACTGAAGCGGACTGGGAGAGGTGGTGGGCCTGGAGCACAGATAACATGGGCGGGCGCCTAGGCTGCCTAAGCAGTGGGTGCTAGGTGGACGTAGGCACTTCTCTAAGTCCAGACCAGGTTTCAAACAGAGTAGAAATTCACAAGTCGGGATTAGGCCCAGTGGGTCCATCTACCATTCGGCTGGGCACCTATCCCTATTGCCTCCTGTCTTAGTCAGAGTCCTATTGCTGTGAAGAGACGCTGTGACCCTGGCAGCTCTTACAAAAGAAAGCATCTAACTGGGGCTGGTTCACAGTTTCAGAGGTTTAGTTCATGATCATCATGGCAGGAAACCCAGAGGTACACAAGCAGACATGGTGCTGGAGAAAGTAGCTGGGAGTGGAGTTCTACATCCAGATCCTCAGGTGGCGGGAAGAGAGCATGACACTGGGCCTGGCTTGGACTTTTGGAAACCTCAAAGCCCACCACCAGAGACACGCTTTTTCCAACAAGGCCACACCTCCAAATTCTTTCAAATAGTGCCACTCCCTGGTGACCAACAAGCAACGAATTCTAGAGCCTCTGGGGACCATTCTCATTCGAACATTATCATCATCCTCATCACTACCAGCATCCTCGTCACCATCAGCATCTTTTTCACTGAATGTATTGATACATTGCCCTGCCAAATACCCAATTCCCAACGTGACCTTAAAAACTATGAATTAAACCCTGTCACTCCTCCACGTCCTCTTGAAGGACTTCCTGCTACAGAAGAATGAGATCCACACCAGCTGGTTTCTGCCGGTTCACCTGACCCCATTTCTGTTTCCTCTTGCTCCGACTGGCTTTCTTCCTGGAGCTCACACACCTAGTAAGCAGTCCTGCCTCGGGGCCTCTGTACCTGCCATTCTTAGTGCTCTCCTCCTAGATCTCCCAGGGGAGGAGCCTCTTAGGATCAGCTCCAACAATACCCCGAAAACTTCCTCTCTCTTCCCCCACCCACTCATCATCCCATTTGACTTTCTCCATACCAACTGAAGTCAGGAGTGTGGGGTTTTTAGTTTTGTTTTGTTTTTGTTTTGTATTCTCCAAGTCAGTAGGGGCTTCATCTGTCTCATTCACCTGTGTACCCCCAGATTACAAAAGGGCCTAAAAAATATTGCATTGGGTGACACAGAACAGCCTGAGATTTCTTTGGGACTGAGAAAAGCCCACATTATGAGAAAATATGGGTCTTGGAGCCCAGAAGCCCAGAAGCCCAGGTAGGGGATGGACTTCTCTGCATTTAGTTTTCCTCCTCTGGAAGGAAGATGTTGCTACCACGCGGTTTTCAGGGGAGCGGGGGAAGGATGAGCCGAGTACGTGAAAGAATAAAATCGGTATGAATGCGCTCTGGCTTCAACCCGAGTCCACGTGCCTATCTAAAGAGAGTGAGACGGTTTCGGGGTTGCTGGCTGGGGAGCTCGTCCTCATACCTGTAGTCAGGGCTGTCATACTTTCCACTTACGAAAGGAAGCTGGCCTCTGGCATCCTGAGAGGGTGGTGGCAGGGTGGGGACCCAGAAACTTCTCCCCGCAGTCTGAGGCCAGGCTACTACTGAGGTCCCATGGTTCACAGGGAAAGAATAGTGTTCATATTTCTTTTTTTTCCCCCAGATTTATTTATTTTGTGTGTTTGAGTGTTTTGCCTGAGTGTATGTATGTTCACCATAAGCCTGCCTGGTGCCCAAGAAGATCAGAAGACACTGGATTCCTAGAACTAAAGTTATAGATAGGTTGTTTTTTGTTTGTTTTGGTTTTGATTTGGTTTGGTTTTTTTGAGACAGGGTTTCTCTCTGTAGCCCTGGCCATCCTGGAACTGTGTAGACCAGGCTGGTCTCGAACTCACAGGGATCCACCTGCCTCTGTCTCCTGAGTGCTGGGTTTAAAAGTGTACGCCACCAGCGCCTGGTTACAGATAGTTTTGAGCAGCCATATGGGCACTGGGAACTGAACCTTGGTCCTCTGCAAGGACAGTCAGGGCTCTTAACTGTTAAGCCGTCTGATTCCAGCTCTGATTTTTCACATTTCTAAGTGGTTAAAAAGAAAATCAAAGGTGTATAGGGCCAGGTGTGTAGCTGACGGGTCCAAGCCCTTCCTGGCTAGGACAAGGCCCTTGGTCCATTTGCAGTACTAGGGGGAGAGATTCCCTTTGGGACACATGAAAGTCAAACTTCAATGTCCACAGGTAACAGCTTCTCACTAGACTCGACATCACCTTCCCTGTGGATACCTACGGCTGCTTTTGGGCCATAAGCACATAGCAAGGGGCTATGGAAACCATGAGGGTCCAAAATAACTTCTGTCTGGCCCATTTCAGAAAAGGTATGTGGGCTTTGGCAAAAAGTCAAGGGCTTGTCTAAAGTCTGTGTGCTGCTACTGAGGGGTAAGGATGGCTCCAGGGGACCGGGCCCTTTCCAGAGCCCCAGCTGCAGCACTCAAGACACAGAGGCAGGCAGAGGTCTGAGTCTGAGGCCAACCTGGTCTACAGACAGAGCTCCAGGACAGCCAGGGCTACACAGAGAAACCCTGTCTTGAAGAACCTAAAGAAGGAGAGGTAGGACGAAGAGGAAAAGAAGAAGAATTAAAAAGGCCTTGCTTCACTTCACCTATGTCCCCAGAGGCAGTGCCCACCTCCTGGAGCCAAGAGGCAGCCAAGGGAGCAGCTCCTTTCCTGGACTTTTGGGGAGGAGTTCCACAGCAGTCGCTGGGGTGACCTGCCCGTCACTGTTGGCCTCCTCCCCGGTAGGCAGGGAGTGGGATCGCTGAAGTGGCTCCACTTCTTTGAGACATCAACTCTTTAAGATACAGGTGACCTTCCCCGGGGAGTTACCCTGTGTGCCCTCTGTCCTAGAGACCCTCCCACCCACATCCGCTCTGCAGTCTGTGTGGGAGACAGTCTGTTGAATTATTCTTAGAGAGGAGAGGAGAAATGGTGGCTTCTGGAAGGTGGGAAGTCAGCTCCTAATAACAGGCCTCTCTTTCTGTGTCTGGGGAGTGTATAATAATCCTCCGTGTGACAGAGATGCCCAGCCTGACGGAGACCATGACATCGAGGGAAGTTGCTCTGTGGCCTTATTGGGGCAGGGGGTTGTGGTACACACTCACGCTACAGTGGGAAGTGGCTCCGGCCAGGCCTAAGCTAAGGTGCCAGGACAGACTGTGAGAGCAGGAGGAGCCTAGCTGCTGCCTAGGAGGTGAGAACATAGGGTAGCAGTGTGACTCGGGCAGCCGCATGCCCACGGGAGCCTCCTTCTTCCTCTCTGCTCTTCCACCACACCTGGGGAGTCTGGAGCACCAGGCTGGATTGCCCACAGCATTGCTTCCTCTAAGGAAGAGAAAGGAAAGAGTAACAGAGACAGAGTATATGTCTCCCGCCTCACTTTGGGGTGCCTTCCTTAGAGGGGGACCTAGTCTGCAAAGAGGACAAGGTCAGGCTCCTGCACTTAAGGCTCCGTAGCCCAGGCAAGTAATTCATTGCTCCTCTGAGCTTACATTTCCGCCCCATAATAACACCTGTCTCTCAAGGTCACTGTAAAAACCAAATGACAGGTTGCACACAAAAGCCACTTTGAAAACCAGGAAGCCCAGACAGGAGCATTCACTAAATGAGCTTCAGGCTTTCTGCTCACGCTGTCTGGGCAGACAAAGGGGACCTTGCTCATTACACTAGCATGACTTGGGTCCCACCAGACTGTAGAGGAAAAGCAGAATATTTTCCCAACGGGACAGATTTCTGTGCCCAAGAGGCTGAGGGTTGTGCTGGCACGTGCCATGGCTGTGCAGGCTCACACAGTTCCCCCTCCCCCAGGGTGGTGTGCTTGCATCTCTGATAAGGCCCTGGCTTCCTGTTTAACCCCAAAGGCCGTTAGGAAAGAATGAGATAGGGTGGGTTTTGGTTTCCACAAAACTAGCGCTTTGCTTCCCAACCCTGGGCAGTTGGAGAGGTAGTGACTACGTGGGCTGCAGGCGGCACCTCTCTCAGCTTTGATGCTTGGGAAGGTCGTGAAGGTTCTAGAAATGCCCATGTGACTCAGGGGAGACCAGGGCAACGGGAGCGCTGGGAGTTTCAGCCATTACTGCCTTCTGTCCACACAGCCCTTAACAAGTCTCATTCTGTAAACCAGAACGGGCGCCCTTCTGTCCCCTTTCAGAGCTGCGGGACCAGGGGCAAGTGCTCATAGAGGAGAGCTGAACTTGGTGCCCTACACAAGCAGAGCAGGGCCATGACCCAGGCCGACCACGACACAGAATTGCAGATGAGGGGGTGGGGACAGAAAAGTGGGGTTCCCGCTGAGTACTCCATCCTGCACTCCACTGGCATCTGACCTTCATCCTGCGGGACAGATACCCCATCTGAATCTTACAGAAGAATCTACCAACTTCAGCAGTCAGGTCCCTAGCACGCAGTATGGATGTGGACAGGTCAGCTGGAGTCGGCCTGTTTGCCCTGGTCTTCACGCCCACCAGGGATGTAGAGTACCTGTCTTGATTATGGCTATGAGATTAAGCTGGGGTAGGAGAGAAGCCAACTGGAAGAAGTGTGGAGGGAGGCGGAGGTACAGCGGTCCCACATCTGAGCCTGTGTCTGCTGTGTATCTTCTGGTCTCAGCACCTTCTCAGTGCCCCTGGTGAGCCCATTTGCCCATGACTGCCATAACATTCGTCCATGTGATCTCATGTGCTGGTCTGGCATCTCTCTTCCCACGTCCCACTGAACTAAAGTAACTGTCCCTGCTCCCTTCTTTTGCCCTGGAACCCTTCGGTTTCTGCCCTGCTGTGTCTGGAGCCCATGTCCCTGCCCAGATACCTGGACCCAGATTACTACTCCTTCCCGGAGGCTGGATAGACTGTGTGCACCCTGCTACTTCAGAACCTGGTTATTAATGACTTGCTAACTCGTTATCTTGAGCATTGCGTCAGCACCGTGAGAATCACTTTATTGCCACTTAACTTGGTATCAGCCCCGCTGGCTCCCTCAGTCACACAGGACTAGCTGCAGCAGGGAATAGGACCAAAGCCATTCCCAGTCTAGCTCACACAGCTCCAGGCTTAGCTCACACAGCTCTGGGCCCAGCACACACAGCTCCGGGTCCTTGCTAGCCGTCCCAGTTCTCAGCATCCTCGGATACCTAAGAAGGAGCCAGTTCATCTCACCTGCCTGATACCCTTGGATTAACTTGCAGTGGATTCGGTTGAGCAGGCACTTACAAGAACAAGGTTAGATTTTATACCTTGCTCAGACACCATAAGCAGTCCTCCTTCTCGCCGTGGTTCCAATGTTTTCCTGGTTTTCAGCTTCCACTTAGTACACTGGTTGAGCAAACGCTATGGAAACACTGATTAGTGTAAGTGACTTTTCATCCTTCTGTTTGTGTTGTGCAGCGTGGGCCCAGGACTTCTCCTTGTACCCTCCTACCCCCTGCTTGACCCCTCTGCTTTTCCTACTCTGTAGACTGGAGTCATAGCTCACATAGCCAAACCGAGTCCCTCCGTGATCCTCAGCCGGTGTGGGCTCTGTCCGGACCTGCTGCTGCTGTCACATATCTGGGTGCAGAGCTAGTACTGAGGCCATCCGAGTCAGACTCCACGCTGCAGGACAAGACATTCAAGGCTTTCCAGCCACACTCGAGGAAGGAGCCTGCCTGGGCTCTCACTTTCCTCAGTTCTACCACCTTAGGCAAGTTGTTTGCCCTCAGTTTCCCCCACTGTAAAAGTGGCACCTACCTCCTGTAGAAATTGTCATGGGACCCAAACCCAGAATGTCTTGAGAAGCTCAGCAAAGGACCAAGCAGCCATCGGGTCCTGTCTCCAACATCCTATAAGCCCAGGGCCTCCCCATTCTGCCCACTTCCCTGACTGGCCCACTGAGCCAGGATTATCTTTACCTTGAGGCTTGGCACGGAGCCTGCCAAGTTTGTGGTTGTAGACATACGGCTGAGCCACCTCTAGGTGCCACTTTCAGATCCTGAGGCCAACTGTTATCTCTCTGGGGCAGGAACTATCCAAGGTGTTCTCTATCTCAGCATGGTATCCAATTTAGGGTTCTGTATCAAAGACAGAATGGGTATGACGGCTTTGACCCCAAGTATGTTTAACTTGTTTGAAAGTGTTCTTCTAGGTGAATCTCTGTGAATTTGAGGCCAGCATGATTTACAAAGTGAATTCCAGGACAGGCTCCAAAGCTACAGAAAAACCCTAGGGAAAAAAAGAAAAGAAAGGAAAGGAAAGGAAAGGAAAGGAAAGGAAAGGAAAGGTAAGGAAAGGAAGAAGGAAGGAAGGAAGAAAGCAAGCAAGAAAGAAAGAAAGAAGGAAGGAAAAAGAAAAAAGAAAAAAAAAAAGAAAGCAGCTTTCACCTGACCCTTGCAGACAGGCTGAGTGACCTAACCCTAGGTACAGCATGACTTTTACTTGTTACTTAACAGATGTTAGTGGACCGAAAATAATTGCTCTAATGTCCATTGAGTAGCACTCCTCTGTGGGACCCCACAGCCCACACTTCCTACACTGTAGCAGTCTCCTGGTGACAGACTCATTGGTGAAGGATTTCCATTTCCTTGGGGGAATGGAATTGTCAGAGCTCTGTGTGGTCTCTGGCTCCTTCCCCATTCTCTTGACGCAGCCCCTCACGCAGCGGGAGCTCTCATGGAAGCTCAGTGTTCAAGTGTTCATGAAGACACAGCACCTCCGTGGCACTGGGACTGTGGCATTGGGACCCATTCACATCTGGGTGAATGACTGACATTGGGGACTTACAGTAAGGTATGGGGTTCACTTTCCTCCATGAGGAAGGAGACGGCTTTACTTTTTATGTGTTGATCTCACAGACTTGACTTAATACACCTTCATCAGGTGTCTAACCAAACCTCAATGAAGCCTCCTACTTAGGCTTCTACAAGAGGCACCTTAGGCTGTACTTGCAACACATGGGGGGAGAGAGAGAGAGAGAGAGAGAGAGAGAACAGTTCATCCACCCCTGTCCCTACCTTGCTTAATGCCCACTTGAAGTCATTAGGGCCTTGCCTCTAGGTGTGTATCCTCTCTATCCCTCTCTGTCTCTTTGAAGCTTGCTCTGCTTGGCTCCCCATAACTCTGATCTTAATTTGCCCTCTGAAGCCATTTCTAGATATTGCCTTTGCCCATGCAAAGCCAAGAGCTTCCTGCAGCAGGAATGGGCTTAATATTCCAGTTCTATTACTTCCATTACATTTGTTTGCTCCCACCCCCGACGCTTTACCTCTGCTTGTTGAAGCTGCAGCTGGGAGGCACCTCGTTCTCAAAGATTCCCTGGTCAGGAAAGCAGTGAGGATGGTGGGGGTGGGGGAGTGGGGAGTGGTGTCATGCAATAGCCTCAACGAGGAAGTCTGAATGCAAGAGACCGGTCCCTCATAAAAGGACTCCAGAACATTCTCTGAGGGAAGCTTTTCCCAGAAAGCGCCTTGAAGAGCGGGACTGTTGTGTCCCAAGCTATGTGGTGAGGACCTCATTTGTCAACAACTGTAAGGCTCTCTGGCCTCTGACAGCAGTCAGGGTGGAGCACAGTGACCCCGCGACCCAGAGGCCAGGAGCATCCCTGAGCTGGAGAGGGGAGATGAGCCATCTGGTTCTGTCAGTGCTTTCGATTTCCTACTCTTTCACTCCCATAACATCCTGGAGCTTGGCATGCTCAGCGCCAGCAGGCCTGGCCCAGCTGCGGCTGCGCAATCTTCCAGGTTGCTCCTTATTCACCCTTTCCACCAGGTTCCTCCTGTATTCTTCCTCATACCATAGAGCCTTTGTCAGGAGTATTGCTCAACCGTGGCTGTCCTGTTTCTGGCCTGCCCACCTCTAGCCCACTGGGCACAGGTGGCAGAGACAACTACAGTGCTGACCACTCAATTCTCATTCTTTCCCCTTCCTTCATTTCATTTTAGCTATTTAAAAATAGCATTTATTGGGCCAGCAAGATGGCTATAGCATAAAGGCATTTGCTGTCACACTTAATACTCTGAGTTTGATCCCCAGAACCCCCATGATGGAAGAAGAGAACCAAGTCCTGCAAGTTGTCCTCTGACCTACACACACACACGCACACGCACACTCACACGCATGCATGCACGCACACACAATAAATGTTTTTAAAAAAAGCCAGGCACTGCGGTGAATGACTGTAATCCCAAATCATTTGTAGGCAAAGAGACAGGAGGGTCTGGAGGCTCTCACTTTAAAACCATGTTTTAAACCTTGGACTAATTCTAGATCACAAAACTAACACTGAATTCCTGTCCACTGTTGGGCCAGTTTTCCACAGCACAGTAATCAAAACTGAGACACTAATACTAGCGAAGTGTGTTACGAGAATGAGATTGTATTCCAAGTCTACTCTTTCCATTGACACCCTTGTTCATTTCAAGACTCAATCCTATTATATGAGTAGAGGCATCATTTTTAAGTAATTTTAATTTTTTAAAGATTTATTTATTATGTATACAGAGTTCTATCTGCATATATGCCTGCAGGTCAGAAGAGGGCACCAGATCTCATTACAGATGGTTGTGAGCCACCAAGTGGTTGCTGGGTATTGAACTCAGGACCTCTGGAAGAGCAGCCAGTGCTCTTAACCTCTGAGCCATCTCTCCAGCCCGAGGCATCATTTTTTACACACATCTATAACTTGTTGTGCATGCTATTTTGTTACCATCTCCGCTCACTTGATAACACATCACAAACCCTTCTCCAATTGCAATCATAATTCGATTTTTTTTTTGCTGACTAGACTGAAACCCAGGACCATGCTAAAGACATCTTCTGCCGCTGAGCCGTACTTCTCTTTAGGGTTTTGAGATGGATCTCACTGCTGTAGCCCAGGCTGCCTCAAATCATGATCCTCTTGCTTTCCCTCTGGAATGAGGTGATTACAGACACCCACTACCTGCCTGTCATCGTTTTTAATAGTAGCAGAGCTTTTCATTGTGTGGATTTACCATCATTTGCTGAACCAGGGCCTTGTTCTACGGCTTTGTTTCTAGCTTTTCCCAGCTATAAAGAATAATGAGACACATGCTTCTGAAAGACACATCTCTGGCTACTTTGTCGTAAGAAAACTCCCAGGAATAGAACTGCTGTGTCCAGGGGACCCATTCTTTCTTCCAATTTGCCGGCATGGATTTGACCCTGTTGCTAGTCCTTCTGATTTCAAGAGACTGCTGACTCTCACCCGGAGGTAGGCAGGAGAAGAAGAAAAGAGGTGGTAAAATAGCCAAAGCTTTTGGGTTGTGCAGACAGGGAGAAGACATTAAAGGATCTGTGGGTCCTTCCTGGCTTCTTGGCCTTCTGCAAAGCCCACTCTCAGCTAGACATCTACCTCCCTAGAAAGGAGGCTGCTTGCTCTGAGCCCAAGGATAATGGGGAGAAGATGGGGAGGGGGCGGGGCAGAATCTGCTAATGCATTTTGCCAGCATCTTTGGTTTCTCCAATATCCAGCCAGACTATTAGCAGGTCCCCAAGGATGGCCTTATTCCTCACATCATCCCCCATTTCCTATAAATGGGAAGTGACTAGGGAGTAGGGTTTTAGCATGTGTGTGCACATGTGAGCAATGGGGGAGGGACAGGAGAGGAAGGCAAGGCTCCTGGTGGTTTTCCTACTCGGTGGAGAACTGAGACCCAGAGAAGCTATTTGTGCAGAAGGGCCGCAGCATGGTGGGGAGGAACACAGGTGTGACAATTCCTCTGCGCTCCGAAGTTACAGGCAGAGCTAGATGAGGGGCTTCTGCAGCCAGAGGCTGTGATCAGGGAGTTGGGGGGGAAAGAATGAAACTGAGAAGCTACCTCAGTGTCTTTAAGGCATATTCATGGCCTGGGTCGTCTTAAGCACTCAGAAACAGTTCCTGGCATATTGGTTAACCAGGATTATGACAGAAGGCGGCACAAGGAAGAAGGGATATTAGAGCAGGATGGCCTAAGGCACTAAAGTCTCCCTGTGACTTGGGAAGGAAGCACCTTTGTGGAAAACAGTCTCAGGCAGTTGTTCAGGTGGCCGGCAGGCTGCTGGGTCTCCTACCAAGCTGTTCCCTCACTCTCTGGAGCCCTTCCCCCTCTTCCCTGGAGCAAGGAAGGAAGCACTGACAAGAGAGAGCACTCCCAGTCCTCAGAGGAGGACAACACTCTGCTCCCGCTGTGCTTTCCCAAGCCTGGAAAATACCACTGTCCACTCTTCTGGGCTCTGTAATTTTCCACCTGACCACCTGACCTAGCATTCCCCCTGACTCCTGCCCTTTACCCTGGGGCAAAGGGGACACTCGCTCAGGGACCCAGGACTCCTGGGCTCTCTGCTGGCCACAAATAAGTATGCCAAAAATGTTGGAAAGCCAGGGTCCTGACTTAGGGATGGAAGCTCATGTGCTCCCAGAGAGGCCATGCCCAGGTGGTTTTCAAATTGAACTTAATGACTCAAAATGTAAGCTCTTGACATTTTTGTCCTCTGCTCGCCCCTGTGCACACACACTCTCTTCCCCACTACCCCACTTCTCCCTTTGATATCTCTCTTTCTGTTCTGCCCCCTTCCTCCCACCCGGGGTGCCTTTAAGGATCAACCGACTAGCTGCCTCTTCTAACAGAACTCAGAACATGGGAAGGACTTTCCCCGTGGTGCACAGCTGGTTAACACCGGGCTAGCATTGCAATCCAGCACCACAGAGGCCAGTTTCGACCTAAGGCCAGCCAGGTCCTTCCCTTCAAAAGCATCTCCTGGGACTTGGTAGTGCAGATGGTTCCAGGACCCTATAGATACCCGATCCATCTCAAGATCTCGTGGTGTAGATGGTGTATTTGAACACAAACCTACACATATCTTCCTGAAGACTTCATCTCATTGACAGATTACACACACTTAATACGATATAAATGCTGACACAGGTAAGAACTTGTTTTGCATATCTTGCTCAGAAAATGACAAGAAAAAAGGTCTATTCATATTCATACCGAGACAATCAAAATAATCCTCAGCCTAACACACAACACATATCAATGTAACATTTTCCTCTAATATTTTATAATTAGTTGAGTCTCGTGCACCACAAAAATCCACAGAAATCCCTGGCCTGTGATATTGAAATCAACAAGTCGCCTAAATGAATTTCTCTTCTCTTTATAAAATTCCATGGATGAAAGCCCCCATCCTCCACCCTGAGGTCAGGCTAGAACTGCAGCGATCTGTCTCTCACCTGCACTGGCTTCCTGCTAGTCAAGGGACTTTTAGAAACACTGACTGGGAACATTTTGGTGGCAATTTATCACCTCTCCTTCCGTGTACATAATCACAATAGAAAAAAAAAAAAGAATTGGGAGTTTGTCTTTGAGTTGCAGAAAGAGGCACTGAGTTAGCTTTCCGAGAGCAGGGAGAGTAACTCACAGAATGTGACAGATCCTTGCAAGGCATGGGCCAGGGCGGGTACCCGAGTCGTTGCTGTGCCTGGACAGCAGGACGTCCAGAATGGCACGCGCGGGTAATGGTCGCAGACTGACCCGGGAGCGGAGGGGAGGTACCCCGTGGAGTCGGGTAGTTTTTACCAAAATGTTTTGGTGGCGAGCGGCAGAGGGGGCGGTGCACGGCCCTAGGTAATGATAGGGCAGTCTAGGAGCCACGCGGGGGCTGCCCGTCCGGCCGCGACCAGAAAGGAGACTGCTTTTCCACCTCCTGCTTTCTTCCCTTGGGGACCGGCCCCACCCCTCCATCCCCTCCCAGCACCCCCCACCTCCGACCCGCCTCGCCCCGCCCCCCTCCTGGCAGCCCCAGCGCGCATGCTCTCTCCCCCCACCGAGTAACCTGGAGATTTAAAAGCCGCCCGCTGGCGCGCGTTGGAGAAGCAGGGGTCCGAGCTTGCACGCGCCAGCCCCAGGTGACAGCCGCGCGCCGGGCCAGGTAGGGGAGGGGCCGGTCCCGGTGGGAAAAGAGCGGGCGGGTGGCCACGCTCGGCGGTGGCGTTCTGCTTCCCGCGGGATGGGGCCGCGCTGTGGCGTCCCGGCCCTGC